GCCAGTGGGCTTCATCCGAGCCAGTGGGCTTCATCCGAGCCAGTGGGCTTCATCCGAGCCTGTGGGTTGTACGCGAGTCACGGAGATCTGTGCTTTCTGGGTGGGAGGTTTCTGGGGGTGGAGATTCTGGCCCGTTCGTTTTTCTCAGCCTTGGAGATACCCGTGTTGTCGGTCATGGCCATGGTTTGTCGGGTCGATGGGTGCTCTCGGAGTTCATGGAGATACCTGGTTTCCGTTCGTTGGAGTCAATGGACTTCTCTGGGCTCATGGGCATTGACCATCATCCCCTCCCGTTCATGGATACTGGCCCATACAGCCCATACATCTCGCCCATCGTCATGGATACTGGCCCATACAGGCCCCGTGAGACTTCTGGCCCATGCATCTCGCCTAGCGATACTTCTGGCCCATGCATCTCATCGAGATACCGTCATCTCTGGATCATCCAAAGACCGTTGATGAAAGTTGCAATGCACTGGGTCCATGATTCTCAGAGCGCATTGTAGATACCTACAGAAACTGAACTTCGTTGGATTGAAGCTGGAATAGTCCACAGATTTCTCTTCCTGTTCTGATGGGTATCATTGTGTGATACTTGGTCAGAGCCGTTGAAGGGGGTTGGAGAGGAGATACCTTTCATTTGAAGATCTTTTGCCAGAAGCTAAAAATCCACCAAACCCTCCATTGCTTGCCCCGACGACCATCAGCACAAGACTGAAGGATTCTTTGAGTCCACGTCGACTGGCCGAAACCAGAACCATCGCAGGCTCAAAGGCCAAAGAGATACTATACAACATATGTAGTAGAATAAGAGAGACTGAGACAAGGAGAAAGAGAAAGGTGCAAGCAGGTAGATCTAGTAGGTGAACTAACAGATGGTTGAGATGGGGAACGTTCCATCGTATCTCTACGTAACGGGACCGATGATGAATGCTGATTTATATTTTTTGGACCGCCTGAAACTCTTTCAGAATGAATACCCACCTGACTCCAATTTGTCCCGAACCTTTCGCTCCCTGCCCTAGAAATATTTTATATTTAATATTAATTTAACATGCCCATTGTTATCAAATATTAAAGTTTATATTGTCATCAAATTTATACTTGTTTATAAAAGTTCATATTGTCATCAAATTTATACTTTTTATAAAAGGTTATATACACTGCCCCAACCTACATCATCTAACCCCACCCGGCATTAATCAGCACAGATGAAACTCAACAAGATGAAACTCCAACAACATAGATCTTCACAAAACTCTTGAGCCCTTGATCTCTAAAACAGCAAACTAGGCTCATGGACTTGTGGACTCATACGGACCACCACGTGCTCGATACCGTGGCAACGGCATTTGTGCATTTCCATTAAATAAAATAGTGGTGCATGTCATCACCTCTTCGAAAACTCCCTTAAGATCCTCCTACATCCCCGTCACTGCCATTCTGACATACGCTCTCATCTTATACTCCTAGACATGGCCCGAGGCTGGCATGTCTACAGGCTCAGCAAGGCCGATAAGCAGCCTTCATTTTCAACAATACAACAGTTCCCGGTGCGAGCATGCACTGCTTTCGTATTTCACCATTAGCTCCATCTGCCTCAGGCCTCTACACTCTACCATCCCACCACCATATACGTAGTTGGCAGCCTCAAGATCAGTCATCCATTCTGCCAAAACAATAATTGTCCCAACAAGCACTGACGCTCGCATCCTCAGACTTCAGCCGCACCCTCGAACTGCCATACGTCCGTCCTCCAAATATTGCAAATACAACAAGTACACCCATGTCCAGCACATTACATTTAAGCAAGAAATTACAAAGTCACTCCATTGTTTATGAGCTCATAAATTAGAACATAGAAAACGCACCAAACTCCCTCGCCCAGACCTGTTGCCTGGACTTGCCTAGTAGACGGTATCATTTCACACGACCCATCTCCTGCATTCTCGGTCGTCCGTCCCCATACCGCCTTTCTAGTCAAACCCTTCTTTTTCCTAGCCACACCAGTTAATTTATGATGGTCAAATCAGCCTTGGTGGTGATCGACCTCCAGGAAGATTTTCTTCCCCCCTCTGGCTCGCTTGCAGTAGAAGACGGGCGCTCCATCGTCGATGGCATTGTGGAATTGCTTGATTTGGCAAAATTCCCTTGGACTTTTGTCGCCGCTACGCACGACTGGCACCCTAAGGACCACATTCTGTTTGCTTCCCAGCACAAGGCAGAACCTTATTCTCAAGTCCAGTTGCCCCACCCTCTCGGACAGAAAACCAGCACTGGGCTCGTAGAAACAAGAGAATTCACCGTCTGGCCCGACCACTGTGTCCAAAACACGCCCGGGGCCTCATTGGAGCCGCGGTTTGACAAAGCGTTCCACAATCTCCAACACGAAGTGCTAATTGCCAACACGCAAAAAGGGTATTTGAAGGACCGGGAATACTACCTGTGCCTCAGCGATTGCTGGAAAACGCACCACACGGAATTGGAGGCGCTCTTAAAAGAGGCCGGCATTTCCCACGTGGTGCTTGTAGGCTTGGCGTACGACTTTTGCGTGCTCCACTCGGCCATTGACTTTGTCCAGTGTGGCTTTACCACTTACGTCGTGAGCGACTTATCGCGGTCCGTGTTTCCCGAAAAGAAAACCGAAACCGACGGCTTGTATGCCGACGCTGGAGTGGTTGTGTTGCACTCCGCCCTGGATTTGCCTCGCGAGTTGTTCGAGTAAAGTGGCGCTGGAAGCTTGCTTTTCGTCTGTGCTGGTTGAGTAGATGGCGCTCATTCTCGCCGTGTTCTATTGTAATATAATCATGAAAGCTCCTGTCACATTCCCCGGAACTGGTTCTTGGATGCACTTCTACGCCCGGAAAATCTCTGCTTGGTTCTTCCGGTTTTCTTCTCGGTCTCCTCGTCGCTGTCGTCGTCGACTTGGTCGGCTCTGAACTTGACTTTCTGCGCCTTCTTGGGGTTGAAAGTGAGCTCCATCTCGCCCTTTCCATGATGACGTGTTCTGGAGTTCTGCTTCTCTGCCTCTTTTTGTTTGCTGATCTTGTGGAGCTTTTTCGCTTGCTTACCCAAAGACTCGTTGTTCTTGGCCTCGGTCTCGTTCTCCGTGATGGCCTTGAATTCGTTCATAAAGCGGTTGGCCTCCTCTTGCTTCTTCTTCTTTTCCCGGATCTTCTCCAATTCCTTTTGCACCTTCTGTTTCTGTCTCTCCGTGGCCTCTTCGTCCTCTCCCTCGGACTCGTCCTCGGACTCAGAGTTGTCCTTGTCGTCCTTTGGATTCAACCGTTCCTCATCCGACTCTTCCGCAGCAGTCAAGCCACGAGAACGCTCGGTTTTTGTGATGCCCTTAACAGACTTGACTGGGTTGAGCTGTTTGTATTCGAAGGACTCTTGGTTGACAGCAAACTCGGGGTTCTCGAACAACTCCGCAAAACGGTCATCATTGACAACATCGCCACTTGACTTACTCTCCAATCTCTCGGCCAAGTCCTTGTTAACCTTGATCTTGGACTTTGTGACCGCCCCGGTGGTTCTGATTCTTGACTCTCTCCCCTTTTCGATCTTCTTCCTGATCTCTCTTTCTCTCTGGTCTCTGTACGAGTTAGGATTGGCAATCAAGTTCACCTTGTCGTACAACTCAGTGTTGATAAAGAAACCATGCATGTAAGAACGCAACACATTGGAGCCGACCAAATGAGACAAGTTCAACTTTTCGACTTCGTCTCTTGTGATGAATCTGAAGTTCGAGTAGACCGTGTCCGATGGCTTCTCCTCCAATTCCTCAGTGATGCTATCTAAGAAAGAGCACCACTTTGGAGCAGGCCCAAGGTTTGGAATATAGTAGGCATGCATAGGCATACCTTCATTGGCGAAGAGGAACATTCCACTCTCTTTAACGTAGGCAACATCATTAATGTCTACACTAGGTTCCATCGACGTGAAAGGTTTTCCATCCAATCGGCTCCACACTTTGGCGATTCTTTTATCTGCTGTCATGATCTTGTTCGAGTCACTGCTGTTTTCATCGATCCAGCTGATTTTCTTGATCTCAAATCCGTAGCCCTGGTCTTTGACGATGGAGGGCGTCGAAGTTCTGAGATCGTAGATGAGGGCCTTACCGTTGGAGGTTCCGCATGCAAAGTTAAGACCGTCGTTCCTGAACGTAGTGGTGGTCACTTGTGTCAGTTCACCCACCGCATCTGTGACATAAAGCTTGGCAGCTCTCTGTCTGCTTCTTGGGTCCCAGAACTCAACAGTTCCATCTTCCAAACCTGCAGCCATAAGACCATGGACTGGATTTATGTCCACAGAGTTGACTCCCTCGTCAGTTTCTAATACATAGGGATTGAGGAATCTGCCCTGCTCTAGATTTAGTCTGTATATTTCATTCCCCGATGCACCAATGAGCAAATCACAGTTGGTAGGGTTGTATGCTAGACTCCGGCCGAACTTTGGAATCCTGGACTTGTAGTGAATACCGCCTTTGGTGTGGAACTCAATCGTCCTGTCGTTTTGTAAGTGGATAGACTTTGTCCAGTCGTTGGACAAAATCTGGAAGTCGACATTCTCGCTGTCCGTGTGTCTGTCAAACTTAAGAGACAAGTTGGAGAAGTCATAGACATGTATTTGGGGCTTGTAAGTTCCAGTTGCCATTGCAAACTGCCCATCTGGCGTGACTCTTATTTTATTCGACGCCTCACTAAATTCAAAATCTTGAATCAATTCCACTCTGTTCATATAGTCCGCATCTCTTCTTAACTCCTTTTTTCTTTTTCTGGCGATCCAGTCGGGTAACGATCTGGAAAGATTGGATCCAGCAACCTGGTACACGGAGACATCTCCGGCAGAGGTAGACTTTAAGACCATAGTGCTTGAATGCTTAGTGGAATAAGTTTCGAGATGATCATCTCTTAAAGTCGCGCTGCTAAGGAAAAAAAAATAGTATTTGATGGTGCGGGCAGTCACGTGCTAGCCACCCTTGAGAGCCCGCCCGGTGAAATTAGGATCTATCTTTACCAAATTTATCGACATGAACACTCTGTTGTCTACCTCCCATATTGTAATGACTCGTCATTTTTGATTGTGTTGTATCATCATGTTCGCCTTTTCGCCTGGATAAATTATCATAAAGAAACATGTACTCGTTCTTCGTGATGACGCCAAAGGTCGCCTGAGACAACGACATGTACGGACTGCTGTAAATATTGGATGGTTTCGTATCCGGGAAAAAAGTAGCTGAGAATTTGTCAAATCCATCGCGTACCAACTCCTTATGGCGATCATTCTTGTAGTCAGTGCACAAGGTTTGGAGAAACTTAAACCAGATACGCAGCGTACTGATCTCACTATAGCTAGTCTCAGTAGCGTGATTGAATAGAGTGGTCCATGCCAATGACGACTCTGCATTCCTAAGAAGCTGTTCCATAATTTTGAAAATTAACGTGTTTGTAAATTGAGACGTCAAATTCGACAGATCCAACTTTTCGTTGCATTTAAGTGCGAGCAACATGAACGAGTATATGGGCTGTATCGTGCGCATATATATTTTCTCAGAAAGCCCCTCGCCAGGAGCCAATGTAGCTGTTTCAGTTAATTCTGGGGCAAAAATAACACTAAGAAACTTGAGAATGCGCAAGAGGGTTCGATGCAACTCATCATACTCGTCCAACTTCGAGAACATTACTAATGTTTCATTTGACGGTGCAGGTTTTTGCTCGGCAAAAAAGTAGTTTGGCTTCGCCAATGGCGGTAACGCAGAACGCAAAAAGCCATTCAACGCCCTGAATTGCTTTGATGTGCAAATATTGTCACCGTAAAAGCCCAAAAGACATTGTGCCGTAACGCAGCCAAACTGCGTGCACACACTCAAGAGCGAATTGATTTCAGAAACTTTGTTGAATTCTTCGTATATGGATGTCAGATCAGCATTGTCACCCAACCACTCAAGAGTTTGCGAGCTTATTGAGATGCAATTAATGACAGTTCCATTTGAGAACCACGACGAGCCCGAGGTGTGATTGAGCAAGTCGACGATGAAGCGGAACGGCGTTTTCGCAGCCACCTCAAACGCTCCAAGCTGACTCTGCGGATATATTTGAAGCAAGCGTCTTGCGCCCGGCAACTTACATATCATAGAAAGCAGGTTCAATACTGGTGGCCTGATCATCAATAGCTCCAAAATAAATTTTGCATACCGCTGTCCACTAGTCAATGCCGACAGTAGAGATAGGCGGTGAAGCATAGCAATTGCGTTCTCGTCATGACAGATTATAATGCATGTTAAGTCACGATGGGCCACGCTTTTCAGCATGACAGATATCAATGACGCAAAGCAGCTCCAGGAAGGAGTGGGCTCTTTGGTCAACATCTGGAGCTGAGGCAACACCATCGCCGCTGTGTGAAGAATCAGGTGGACATCGTGAGCATGCGCCTTGACGAATTCTTCCAAATTGGAGCCAAACTCAAAGGGACTGGCGAAGACATCCAAATTTTGATTCTCGCCGCATGCTGGCCACCATTCGGGAACTTGAAATGCAGGCTCGCCTGTTGGGGTTGGCGGCCTTGAAGCCAAAATATCCCACAATTTTGAGAACAACTGTGGATGGTAGAAGTGCAACAAAAGCACATGAGCAAACTTCTGGAAGAGAACAGGTTGTTCGGGGCACTTGGAAACGAGCTTTGCGAACAATTCTAATGCTGGCGAGTCTTTTTCATTTCTTTCTGAACTGAGAAGTTCGACAATTTCTGACGTAGTCTCACAAGCCGTCTGCATCCATGTTTCAGACACCTTCAGTTCAGCGGCTAAAACTCGGAGGGCTTCATAGTGTATCACAAGCGCCTGTTGAGATTCTGTATTGGTGGCAGAGCCTTGCATTTCTTGAAGTGGTAGCCGTGCTATATAAGGAGAGGCGGTGAAATATATGTTAATTTATGTGGGTTGGAAGGTCAAATCAGAGGCTGGAGGGGTATTAAACGAGCATGAGCTTGCGACGTGAGTAATTATAGGACAACACAACGAAACAAAAAGTGAGTGGAAGGACGGTTCCGAAAGTGGGTGCCCGGCCCTTTAAATAGATGAGCCTGCGTTGGCTGCAAAAACGTCAAGTCGAAAAGAAGAAGAAAAAACAGTTCGTGGTACCCGATAATGTCCCACTTGCAGCCACTGTGAGAATGGATCGCGCCACACACTTTTGCAGAGGTCATGTGACCAGACTAGCAGAGAAAGAGGGAATCGATATTTGTGAGTGCGAAGTTTGTTTCGAGAAGGCGAGATTTTGGTGGTTTTCCGCCTCAAATGACAGGAAGCATTTAGCAGAAGTGATTTAACATTTAATATATTATATGTATATATGTATATATGGGGACAACGGCGATGGATTTCTGGTGGAACTTCGCACACTTCGCGCCTGTGGTAGTGCTCAAGTCGTTAGGTATGATTAATTGGGACGAGCATGAAGACAAGCTGTGAATCACTGATTCGAGATCTTACGACGGTGCAGATTCATAGTACTGAAATAAAACTGTGAGTGACTGTGACCATTTCATGGGAGCGTAGAATAATGGGGAAGTATGAGACAGGACACGGTTAGAAAGTATATGGGCACGGCTAATTTATGATATGATACTGCGAATGTATGATGAACAGCGGAATTATGAGGTAGAACCATAAACGTTCATATGCAAAAGACTGAAAACATAAACATGGAAATCTCATAATGAGAGATTGATGATACAGAATCCTGAAGAAACCACAATACAGAACACGGAAATAGGTGATTCAAACATCGGTATTCTACGGCGGGAACTTCAGACATATATAGCACAAGACTCTCATAGCTTCTCCCGAAGTCATGATCTTACAATATACTAAAGTGTAGATCAGTTGATAACGGGCAAATTGCAGAATTGACGCGGACTGTTTATTTGTCTGTAGATTTCGGGGAGTCCTAATAAAATACCGTCAGACCATGTGCACTGGTGATTTAGATAGAACGCCGGCAATGCGCGGCCGAAACTCATACGCTTTTCTTTAAATCGTCTCTATTCCTCCTTTCTCCTGTCTTTGCTTCTCTCCTCCGTTTCCTCCTCTCTTCTCCTCTTTTATTATCTTTTCCTCCTGTATATTCTTTTTTCCTCTTTTCTTGCCTTCCCATTTCTCGTTCTCCCATTTCTTTCCCTCCATCTTCTGCTTACCTTCTCTCGTGGTATTGTATTGCCAAATAATCCAAGTCTTTGCCAGAACAAGTGATACAAGGATCTGCGTACGCTCTATATATCTCCTGTGCATCCCCATATTTGTCTACTGTCTATCTAATGCCTCATGATATCGGACTAATTTGTATTAAGAAAGAATGAAAGGCATACTTAGCCTCTTGAATACTCGGCACATGACCAACCAATCAGTGACCCGTAAATCATAATTAAGAGATTGCATTTGTTCTTGATGTCTGATTATGAATGATCGTGATACTTTTCTTTCCACTTGAGCAATTCCAACATGAAACGTGAGTATGGCTGTATAAATATGTTGAGCCGGTGCAATCGTATGTAAAGATACACCCGAGGAAGATTAAGCTTCAAGCATCTCATGACCCTTTCAAGCACGACTAGCCGGATCTTGAAACACTAACACGGAAATGGGTCAAATGCTATGTTGAACCTTTGACTGTTTGCATTCAAAAACCGAGGTAAAGACCAGCTGAGATCTTCAAATCCATCATCCAGATGATTGTCCAGTTTGGCCACGCTAGCCACGTTGCAACGCGGTTCGTGTGTCTGGTGTCTCAGGCGCTTGCGTCTAACGTGAAAGATGTTTCCTCACTAACAGCTTCCACTTCAACAGCATGATCATCTCGGAACCCAGGTCTAGAGAGAGAACTGAAAGGGATGATTTCTGTGATGCCAAGCTTGAAAAGTTCTGTGATCCTATTCTCTACTAGCGACATGGTCTCGCCATCGTCTCCTATTCATGGTCTTTATTCGGTAGATTCCAGCATTTCGCTTGCACATCAGCACCCAGCAGCAAACCCAGCATCCCAAACCCGCCTAATCGAGCTGAGCCGCCAAGGACGCAAGCTGTTTCTGCACTGCGCTTCGGGCAGTCCCGCCCGTAGCGGTCCTCCTCTCCACACTGACCTCAAAGTCAAACACGTCCTTCACGTCCTCGTCGAAACGCGCGTCAATGGCCTGGAACTGGCTGTACGTCAACTGGTCGATTCCAGACAAGTTGTCCTCCTCCGCCTTCCGCACGCACTCGCCCGAGATGTGGTGGGTCTCTCTGAACGGAACGCCCTTCCTCACCAAGTAGTCGGCCAAGTCCGTGGCCAACATGTCCATGGTCAAGGCGCCCTGCATGCGGTGTTTATTGATCTTCAATGTGGAGATAACGCCCGTGGCAATCAAGATCGAGTGCTCCACGGTGGTCATGGCGTCGAAGAGCGGCTCCTTGTCCTCCTGCATGTCCTTGTTGTACGTGGACGGGATGGACTTCAACGACATCAAGAACCCCGCAAGCAGGCCGAAAACACGGCCGCTCTTGCCCCGCAACAACTCGAGCGAGTCCGGGTTCTTTTTCTGCGGCATCAACGACAGCCCGGTCGAGTACGCGTCGGCCAACTGCACGAAGCCAAACTCCGCCGTCGAGTAGATGATCAAGTCCTCGGAAAAACGCGAGATGTGGTTCATGAACAACGACGACCAGAAGAGCGTCTCCACCACAAAGTCACGGTCGCTGACGGCCACCAACGAGTTGCCAATCACACCGCCGAATCCCAAGCCGGCCGCCAAGAACTCCCGGTCCATGCCGTAGGGATGTCCGGCTAAAGCCCCGGCGCCCAACGGCGACTGGTTGACGCGCTCCAAAATCTGCTTCAATCGCTTGTAGTCCTCGGTGAAGTACGTGGCGTACGAGCTCAACCAGTGGGCCCAGCGGATGGGCTGCGCCCGCTGCAAATGCGTGTATCCGGGCATCAAGACATCGATCTCCGTCTCGGCTCTTTTCAAGATGGTCTTGATGAAATTGCCCAAGAACTCCACCAACTGCGTCAAGGTCTCGCGCACATAAATCCTCATGTCCGTGGCCACCTGGTCGTTTCTGGAACGGCCCGTGTGCACCTTCCCGGCAATGTGCTTGCCGATGATCTCGCCCAACCGCCTTTCGTTGGCCGTATGGATATCCTCGTCCCCGGGCTTCTCGACGAACTCGCCGTTTTTCCACTCGCCGCGAATCACCTCCAAGCCGCGGTGGATTTCGGCCAATTCCTCACCGGTTATCAAGCCGAGCTTGCTCAAGCCTTCTGTGTACACCTTGGTGCCGGTCAAATCGGCGTCGTACATGATTTTGTCGTAGGGAAGCGAGGCATTGTAGAGGTCCATCAACGGGTCCGAGGCGCCGGTGAACCGGCCGCCCCACAATCTGTTTTCCGTTGGCTTAGACATTCCGTTTTTGTTTTTGTTTTGTGTTTTGTTTGTTTCCCGAAATATATGGAGGGGCCAAGGGAGGAGCCGGGGAAAGCGCCGGCACTTATATGTGAAAATTGGGAGATTACTCACCGCGGCTACGCCGATGGCTGCCCGAATAGGAAGGTGACTAAGACTTTGCGGCGTGCGGGACACAGAACGCACTGCAGACAGGCCCCGCCGCCGCGCGCCGTCCGACCATCCGCGCGCTGGGAGCCTATTGACTTGGGTGTTTCTTTCTTATTTTAGCAGTTGTTGCGGAATCTGTTTGAATCTGGGATTTTCTGGAGTTCTGCTGGGGTTCTTGATTGTCTCACAAACTATGGGTAGATCCAAAATCTGTAACCACACCGTAATGAACCAAGCCAATCGTGAACACCCTATTGTAGGTCCACGTAAATGATCTAGTAAAGCTGGTAAGCCTACAGCTGGGTTTTGGCCAAATACTGCTGGAAGACTTTTCAATGCCGCATGATAAAGAGTCTGTCACGTGCTTTCGAAATGATCACTTAGCATCCCAATCGTCTGGCTAGATCTTCACCAAGCACTCTTTTGACTGTGCAGTTCTAGTTATGGCCACTAAATGACCAGTATTTATACTGATTTGATCTGTACTCACGAATATAGGAGTCAGCTCGTAAACAATGAACTTCAAATTTGACCAGAGGTTGACCAGAGGTCAAAGATCAAATCAGAAAGGCAATAGGGTGCTTCTCTGAAATGAATGGGGTAAACAGCTTTGAAAATCGAGAAGGAATAGATAATTGAGTACAGTATATTGAGACAGAATATACTTTGACTAGAATAGGCACAATAAGGAAGGCTTTTTTATGGGCTGTGATATACACAAAGGACCTTGCCACCCCGCAGAATCGATCTGAAAGCAGCCAATAAAGGGCCTCTGTCCTGTTTATAAATACGATTATATCCAACTCAACGTGTAAAGCATATCAGAGTCGAATATGATGTCTTTGAACGAATCATATACTAGCGAATGGCGACTTGAATAAAAGTATAGAAATAGATGGAGAAGTATGGAGCTCTGGAACATTTCTCAATATCTGGAATAGTTTATATGGTAGTACTTCAGAATATGAGAAAATACATGTATGTGATGGTTTTTGTATCAGTTTGAACTGGTGTTTCAAAAACTTTGTACTAGTTAAAGAAAAACCAATATATGAGACGGTTTATTTTAGTTGTTGGGGAACAACTCTAGACTAAATAGAGGGATGGTTTATAGGACGCTACAGAGTATACGATTGTACCAGATCTAACTTTCTGATTGTCATGAATCGTGGGGATCCGAGCAACAATATTTAGTTGAAGCTTCAACAACATAAAATTCAAAGCTCTCGGACAATTCTTTAAAAGCCATCTGGGGCTCTAGAGAATAACAGTATAAATTGTGGCTACCTTGTCGTTGAACAATATCCCACAAACTCCTACAGTAAAAAGAGCTTTTTTTCTTTGGTGTTTATCTCAAATGAGCTCTTGCTTGTCTGACAAGCAAACTTTTCACAACCATCATGCAAAATACTGTTTATAAGGATATACGGGTAACACCCCCATATCTTTGAGCTTTTGTTGCACGCTCTCGTCATAGATAATTGATGAGCACAAAACTCGCAGCCACCATAACAAGATACTTCCATCCAGTTATTGAGTTTTTTAGAACAAAAGACAGTGATATCATTAGGTTTTATTTTTCAGTTTATCATTCACAGAGATACGTTGACCTTTGCGAAAATACGTTGTCATGATTATACAAATCTCTTCTGCTTCAGAATCATCAACTGCGTTTAGAAAATCGGACTCTACCACCCTTTCTATCTTCTTTTCATTTTGAATCTTCCAGCTCAAGTTGTGTTTAAATATACTCTTGAACCATCTGTTTCAATGCTTTCTATGAAAGCGTGAATATGTGCTCACCGCGGAGCTGAAACTGAGATGGTGACTGAATTGCTTCATTTTGTTCAATAAATTTCACTTACCTCTTGACAATTACAAGAATTCAAAAACCTTGCAACGCTGAAGAGTAAAAAAAGTTTTAAACCTCAGAAATGATACGGAATCAAAATAACTGTAAAAAAATTGCTCTACTGACTGATACTGACTCAAATGTTTGTTGGGTTACAACGCCAGGGAAGGAAATAAGAATTTCTCGCCAAAAAGCTAGGACAAAGATTTCGAAACCAAGAATTGATCCAAAGCATCTTATTAACATATTTTTTTTTTCATACGTAAAGCTGATTTTCAGAAACTGGGTTTGACAAGCCTGCCAGCTGAGAAACTATAATCATATTCGCAATAAAGTTCACCAAAAAAAAAAATTAAAAAGAGCAAATATGTGCATGCCACATGGATCTTGAAACTAGCGCTGTTACAGACTAGCCCAAGAAATCCTTGTTCTATTTGGTGCAGTCTAAACTTCACAAGAGACTGAACCCCTCAAAGAACTTTAGACCACACAATTCTACTTGTTATTAAAAAAGCTGGTACAATTTCATTATTCTTACTTCCAAATGTAAGGTGAAATTGTGTTACACGACAATACTGTTTCATTTGTATCTCAGCAACATCATTTTAGCTTCGACCAAGAGTTCGAGGAAACATGGCGAAAGATGAAGTAATAACGTCCATTTCAAATCCCATTGTCATTCATGTTTAAACACGAGAATAATGAAATTTCAAAATGATGATGTAATGTTAAAGGATAAAAGAAGGAACATAAAACGAGATAGCGTCTTTACTCTCGTGCTGAGAAGTTGAAAATTCAAAAGGCGAAAGGTCTATCCTCTCAAATGATAACTAGCTACAAACTTTAACGGTGACTCTCTTATTATCTTGATTTTTCGACTAATTGCTTCTTTATCTGAATTTCATACTTTTCATGTTTATACAGTCAATTGCGCCACTATTCAAAACTTCTGAAATATTATCAAATTCAACGAAAATAGAGCAGCAACTAAGTACAACAACCCCAATCATTACTATACACGTTTCAATTGGTATTGGTCACGTCTACTCTTGAGTTTCAAAATTCTGAAGTTGTGAATCTCAAGATTATGTGGCATAGGAGGTTTTACATTTGAAAGGGTGATACATGTTTTATCACAAGGTGGAAAACGAACTGGCTCATTTATGCTTTTAGTTTCAAGACTTCAACTTTTGCTTGAATAATATATCATTTTTTGAGTTGAGGGCTATGCAAAGAATTGCGGGAGCTATAAATTCTAATGGGTAAAGTACTTACCACGCTTTTTCAGTGTTCATGTCATCAGCGTCCTGGAAGATGGAATCTCAATATTTAATCACTTATACATACATAAGAAGAGGTCAAACCCGCTTTGAAGCAACTATTAAAATCCCAGGATACAGCTTCTACATAATGGCAAAAAAATGAGTTCGCTTTAAAGCGTTTTTTTTTTTGTGACTATGAAAGCGCGTCAGAAATTCTGCTATGGGATAAATCAGTTTGTCGAACTTTTTCGTCTGGTCTCGTATCTTGCGGCTCGACTTTAAGAATACATAGGTGGTGTATTGTGACTTTGTTTTGTGGTCTTCTTTCTAAGTTAATACATTCTTTTTGCATTGAAATGTTATCGTAGGATCTTCCAATTCACGGCACTGTCTCGATCTGAGCCATTATTCTGAATATATGAAATGGGTGAGAGATTATGCCAATGAGAGGAAATACGAGTTTCCAGAGCCTCGGATGATTGTGTCTTTTTTCAACTACTTGTTGTCCTTTCCCCAGGAGCGGTCAAGAAACGTGACACTGCACGTGAACAAGCACCATATAAAATCATTGGAAATCTAAAGTTCTTGGATTTGAAAAAAATGTATGTGTGTAAATATCACTTTTCGAGAGAGCAATTTACCTTGGTAACTCTAAAGGCCGGTATTTAATCACATCTAGCATTAGGTAACTGACTCGGTAGTGAATAATTCAGGAATATAGAAAATAACCTTAGAATATCATTGAGGCAGTACACCATCTTCAAATCGCAAAGTCGAAATTTTGTGGTTAAATAAAAGGATACAATACGCGTGACAAGACTGTTTAAGGGGGCCGGATCTAGTGCTGGAAAGCAAATGGCACATACGCTGTCAAACCACCAGCATTCAAAACGCTTACGCAAGCCATGAGCTCGTACTTGAAAGCGGCGGGAAAGTCATTAATCGGATGGTCTATAAACAGGCGGCACATAATTATGGCTTGCATCTGCCGGAGAACCTAGGATACAAAGAGCAGTCTCTAACAGTGAAGCGGTCACACAACCAGGCCAAGATTCTCTCCGTGCCCAAGCCGTAGCCACCATGTGGGCAGGTACCGTATTTGCGCAAGTCGGTGAACCAGTAATAGTCGTCCAAGCTCAAGTTCTCTCTCTTGAGCGCGGCCACCAACTCGTCGTAGTCGTCGATTCTCATGGAGCCACCGGTGACCTCGCCCACGTTGGGCATCAACACGTCGACGGACTCGGTGACGCGGGGGTCGTCGGCACACTTCTTCATGTAGAAGGACTTGATCTCGACAGGGAAGCGGGTCAACAATATGGGCACGTTCAAGGTGTCGGTCATCTTGCGCTCGGCGGCCTCGGCGATGTCGTCGCCGAACTTGAAGGGCTCGCCGTCCTCGTTGGGGATGCCGTTGGCGTTCAACCAGTCCAAGGCGTCGACGTAGGCCATTCTCTTGAACGGGGTGCGGGGAGGCTCAAAGGACGGGTTCAACTGCTTGACCAAGGGCCCAGCAACAGGGTCCTCGAGCACGTACTTGACGACGGACGTGAAGAGGCGCTCCAAGTGGTCCAACATCTCGTCGAAGGTCAAAAAGGCCAACTCGCTCTCCACGTGCGTGTACTCGGACAAGTGCCTGCGCGTGTGCGACTTCTCTGCGCGGAAGGACTCCTGGACGCAGAACACGTCGCCCAACGCGGGCAAGCACGTCTCCAAGTAGAGCTGCGACGACTGCGTCAAGTAGGCCTGCTCGCCGTAGTAGTCCAACTTGAACAACGTCAGGCCGCCCTCGACCTGGGTCTGCACCATGCATGGCGGCGTGACCTCCGTGAGGCCCTCGTCGCTGAAGAAACGGCGCATGGCCGCCAACAACACCGCGCGCACCTTGAACACGGCCAGCAACGTCTCGCCGCGCATGGTCAAGTGCCGCTGGTCCAACAAGAGCGCCGGGTCGGCGTTCTCCTGCACCTTGTTGGTGAAGGCGTCGTCGCCCAGTGGCGCCAAGCCGATCACCTCGTAGAAGTCCGCACGCAACTCCACGCCGCCGGGCGCGGTCTTGCCCGCAGGCAACTTCTCCACCACGCCCTTGATGGCCACCGTGGACTCCAACGTCAACTCCTGCGTCACGCGGGCGCGCGCCAAGTCGCCGGTCAAGACCGCCTGGAGAAAGCCCGAGCCGTCTCTCAACGTGACGAACGCCACGTCCTTCTGCACCCGCAACCGGTGCACCCAGCCGCGCACGACCACGCGCCGGCCCACGTGGTCTGCGGTGGCGCGCAACTTGATTTGGGCCGCGGACGGCAAGGACGCGTCCTCGACGATCTGGATCAAGTCCAACTCGGCCATCCGGCGGGCGGCGTCCGCCTGGCGCGCCTGCATCTCGGCCTCCTGCTTGGCCTGTTTCTCCTGCTTCTTGCGCAAGCCGTCGGCGCCCTTCTTGGCTTTTTTGAGCGCGGACGCCGAGATCTCCACGTACTCAAAGTCGGCGGAGTCCTCCTTCTGTTTGTATACGAGCACCTGGGCCTCGGGACTGGCGAAAAGAGCGTATGCAGGTGTTTGGAACGGCTGCTGCTGCGAGCCGGCGCCGGCGGTGTCCGTGCCGCTGGCCTCGTTGACGTACACTTGCGACATGGCGGTGTTTTGAGGCTGATGGAGAGGAAAGAAGAGGAAGTAGAGAGGTTGGCGGGAGTTGAAGGTGACTTTTTTTGAGCCCGCGCGCTGGCGGTGGATGCAGGAGCGGCGTCTGGGGCCGGGCTGCGGCTGCGGTCCTGGGCCCTGTTTCCTGTTGTTTTTTGTTGTTTATGTTTTTTCTATGTTTTTTTTTGGTTGGTTTTGTTTTTGTTTTTGTTGGTTTTTGTTTTTGTTTTTTGTTGCTTCTTGTTTGTTATCCTTGTTTTTTGTTTTTTTGTTATCTGTTTCTTGTTTGATTCGGTCGTTTCCAGGCTGGGGACAGTGTGTGCGATCCGGGTTGGACAGGTGTGGCAATAGACATGGGAACCATGGCCATGAGTCACTGCAAACTAGGGCCAGGCAGAAGGCCGTATCGGGAAGCGGGAGAATAATGAGAAGCGGTTGGAATCTGGGCCATCAGAAAATAAAGGCCACTGTTTGTATAAGCGCCGGAGCGACAGTGTGCATGGTGCAGAGTCATGGGAAAATTAGCGAGACCAATAAAGTCTGGGGCGGGGAATCGAAAACAGAAGCGCGAGCGATTTTCGAGTTCCGTGGGTTCATGGAAATTGGCGCCGTCTCGGCAGATCCGCGGCCTGAGCCTGGGAAAAGCAAAGAGGGCTTTTGAACTGGAAGAGATTATGGGGTGCAGCTCAATAGCAAGTGAGATCAGGTTTGATCAGAAGGACAATGTCAAAGACGATTGTAAGAATGGTAATGTGCGATAGAGATGATTAATAAGAAGGACATGTGACGAACGAAGATCCAAAGGAGGACAATCTGCAAAACAGAAGTTGGTAAGGAAGACAGGTGAAGACAGAAGATTAGGGGAAGGGCAACGAGGAAACAGTAGATTGTAAGGGCAATGTGCGAAAGAGATGGTTAATAAAAAGGATATGTGAAAACCGATGATTAAAAAAGAAAATGTGCGAAAGACATGGTTGATTGAAGGGACATGTGAAAGCCGAAGATTAAAAAAGAGACCAAGTGAAAACAGAAGAGAAAGACCGAAGATTAAAAATGAGACCAAGTGAAAACAGAAGGTAAAGGAGGGCAATGTGAATACCGAAGATTTAATAGGAAGGACAATGTGAAAACAAAAAATTGTAGAGAACAATGTGAAATGAGAAATTTAGGAGAAGTGCAATATAAGAATAGAGGATTACTCAGAATAAACAGTGAAAGAGCGACAAATCACAAAAGAAAAATTGACAAGGAGGACAAAATGTAAAGCAGAAGATCGATAAGAAGAAAAACAGAAGATCGATTAGATGCACAATGTGTGCACAGCATATTGTTAGAAAATAGAATGTACGAAAGAGAAGAGTAATAAGAAGGGCATTGTGAAACCAGAAGATTGACAAGAAGGACAAAGTCGAAAGAGTTGATTGAAGAAGGACAAAGTAAAACCGAAGAGTAATAACGAGAACAATGTGAAAACAGAAGTTTGTAAGAATAGCGAACCACAAAAGAAAAGATTAATAAAAAGAACAATGTAAAGGGAACCGACTGATAAGGGGACAACGTGCCAAAGAAAAGATTCACAAGAACAATGTCGAAACAGAAGATCTAAAACCAAAGATCGGACGCGGTATTAGTATGAGGATGACATGGCCGCAAATAGAGAACACACATGTAATTAGAGGCCCCCGCAGAAAGCTGTAGTGGGCTGCTGAGACATCGGCAAAGATATGTCCATAAATGATATACTATCGTTATATTGGGTAGTTTGCCGTTAAAATCACTGCTGGAAACTTTTATGTGCACATTAAAATGTCTGAAAGACGGCCATCTCTCCGCTAAGTCAGAAGCAGGTATCCCCAAAAGCAACAATTCAAAGAAGATATCTAGGATGTCAAAGGTTTTCGGGCCCAAAAATCTAATGCGAATCTACACGAACAAGAAAACGACCGTACTCTTCCTTTGCTTGAAACATTTGTAACATATAAAAGTGCCCCCTAATTGTTAGGGACTTCACGGGACAGAGGGGTAATGTATTATTATTTGAGCACTGCTTTCTGCAGAACTCTACAAGAGTTTCATCCCATCTTTCTTTACTTCATCTAGAGGTTACGCGAAAGGATCCCTGCAAGTCGAGAGAATACTCAATCAGTTGTTCAAAATGATATCTGGACTACAATAATGGAAGGACATATAGTCATATAGACCCTCACTGTCAAGCTGGTGCAAGGGACCTTACACCCGCCAGTTTAGAAGAGTTATCAAAAAAGAACTTAATGATTTAGAAAGACGGTGTAGGCTAACGTAAGTCCGGGTGCGGACTAAGTAGATCAGAAGAACGAAACCATCGATTTCCCCGTGGAAGATTCTGCCGTCGGAGCACGTCTGGTCAGTAAGCAAAAACCTGTGGCCACTTGCCACCCGCAATTTCCATAATTCCAACTTGCAAGGAGCCTCGGGATTATGTCTCAAAGAGACCAGAGATCGAGAAGCCGAGAAATATTCCTCCGGGATTTTTCAATGGAAGTAGATCAAAACTCATCCAAAGCATTCTATCATAAACTAACTGTACATATTGAATATGACTAATAAGTCCAACTATTAGTAATGATCATATAAGTAGAGGAGCTGTTAGAAAAACCTATAAATATTCTTAATCTTGTTTGAGTCGGAGGTGATTAATGTGAAGGACTAGATATCCCACCATGCAGAGGTCGTTCACAACCAGTGGGTTCAGTGGCCTTCTGCCCCGAAATAATGGTCACTATATTCGAGCAGTGTCCGCCCTTACCGTGGCACCTTTTCGTGTACCGAGTTACTATTTACTGGCCCATTTCCAAGCTTACAGCCTGGCCACTCAACACCCTTGGGTTGCCGTATGCGGCCTTACCGCCTCAGATCCCCCAAATCAGTTCGCAGGCCTCGCTCTATCGGCAGTGATTCTTGCAAAGGCTGCCTTTCCTGCGGAACACTCTTACTACGCCACTCGCGATGATGCGTTTACTGTTGTTCAAACACATGACCCCTGTCCCGTGAACTCCCAAACACAAACCCTAATTAAAGCTCCTACATATGCTTGTATTCGTATACCTCACACAAGTAGGTATATGCGCCTCGACGAATACAGCAGCCAAACGCTGGCATTGAAAATGAGCCCAGGAGCCAGAAATGCTCGAGTAGTCTCAAGCGTCTAGGGGCACCAAGGGGTAGCTGTAGGGTAGTTGAAAACAACCGAGCCTGATGCAGAAAAACCGACCATATATGGCCGAATTTGTGGCGAGTCACAGAAATGAGTTCCCCGAGGTCAAACTCGAAAACAGCGCTGGCGCCAGGGTCAAGGCCATGTTCAGGCACAGATATGGACAAGGCGTTCCGGTGGGATCGACCCGAGGTCAAACTCTAGATTTGGGTCTTTTGGGAGCAGTTTTTTGAATCGAAGACAGCATATGTATTCATGTATGGAGCTCAACAAATGCATCGTAATGTTTATTGCAGGAGTTTTATCTGGGTGCTGAGGATCATTGAGGAAATGAACATCACGTCTGCTTTTCTGCTCCAAAGTCAACTTCGTCGTATAAGGGGAGAAAATACAGCTGCCGTGTTCCTCGATGCCTTGGTTATACGGCACCATCAGTCACCAGGAGCTAGGTATCGACACCACTACAAACGTCGGAGCGTTTTGGCAAATTTACTGGTCTGTTTGTGAACAAAGGTTATTGTCTAATGAGGCTATACTTTTTTTTTTCTTGTCTTTTTTCAATTTTTTTTTTCGTTTTTGTTTTTTCAGTGGGGTATTGTTCTTTGGGAAATACCATAAGTGTTCGAGCCATTGACTCAATGGCGGGCCTGGGAATCTGTTACCATGTTATTCCCTATTTCTAGAGGAACTTATACCCGTCGTCTTGGTGGAGACCCATGCAATTCATCATCGCCAATTTCAGCCAAAACTAGGTAAGGATTCTGTGAATAAAGGGATTTCATTTCTGGCTTTGGCCCCAAAGTGCATTTCGGATCAGTCGGTGGGGTTGCTAATGATTCCGCTCCAGAGACGGTTGGCTGAGGTCTTTTGCGACAGTTTCTGTGTTTTCTGCCCTGTACCTTCCAACCATGATCATCAATATCAGTTTCAGGAATATCAGGCATTTTAGCGATAGTCCCGACTTGCTTCGAGGCCAGAGTTGAACCCATGCCCAAATCTGTGGGCAAGTCCTTGGTCAAATTCTGAGTAGATTCATGGAAGATCCCAAGGTCTTTTTCATCATCAGATTCCCGGGCCTTGTCCATAATATTAGTGACTACATTCAGGTTCAGCACCTCGTAGCTGTCCATAGTCAAGACCATAATCAGAGAGCAACCAGAAATCACGTTTCCCAGAGAAGAAAGCTCGAGCTTTTCAGGAACTTTCGTATATGTTCTGCTTGGGCGTGGTTCCTGATAGTCGTTTTCATCGATGTCGGCCAAAACCAGGTAAGGGTTATTGAAGAGCACGGATTCGGGAACAGCGTTTTCTGACCGAAGAGCAAACCATTTCTCGGAAGAAGTCATTCCAATCAGCATCCACATATCTGTCTTTTTCCCAGTCCGTGTACGAGAGTTTCTACGCTTTCTACCTTGGACTTGCCACCCAGATTCATCTGGGTTGGCAATAGGCAGCATAGCAACGTTTACAGTTGTGTCCATCAATCTCCCATTGTCATGAGAGTTGAGTCCGACCCGACAGATTCGAGCTTGGCAAATCTTGTCAGTCTCCACAACTAGGCCTGAATCCCGAGGAGCATCAGCTGAGGCAAGCTTGCAGTCTGGGATAAGAGAAACTGCAGAAGATACATCAGTGTCGCCGTCGGACAATCCAGAAAAGCTATCGTCGCTAGCTGGTGAAATGATGGACAAGCTGCTGATTTTTGTGATTCTTAAGCCAGTGGTAGCAGAAACAGCAAACCCAGCAGAAGCAGCAGAAGAAACAGAAGAAGCGGTCTTTTCAACTGAGATGAAACCAGAGTCAAGATTTCCAGTTATCTCCTCAGATTCACCTCGCGATATCGCAATTTCATTCGGGACTGGGCCAGTTTTACCAACACAGAGTGTTGCAGAGTTCATGATAGTAAACTCAGGCTGAGCTGGAAGCGTCAGGAGGAACACGAAAAGAAAATAACCAATAAGGCAGAGCCCGGTGATTTCCGACACGCAATGGATGATTTGGAAGCAAAATATCACTTGTGCAATCATGATGAAGCGTTTTTTCGTGAAAGATGGAGAATTAAAAGAGTGTTTGGAGACAAAGGAGCGAACCGTCGTTCATATGGGAAAATTCATTTTTGCAGTCGGCGGCCTAACAAAGTATGGCTGCGAAATCAGGCTGTCGATTCGCGGATCGGCATCTATGTCTGTTGGTGTGTAGCATAACACGAAGACACTACGCAGAGTCTGAATTGCTTACGACAATAATAATTGGGTATATTAAGAGGAAGTTGATTCTAGGGTGAGCAAAAATGTTCTTTCAAAGTGAGATAAAGGGGTCATACTTTTTTAGGTCCGAAGCAGCCACGGCCTTAACAACATGCAGGAAACATAGATTGTCTATTGGAACCTGAGTCCACTACGTATTCGAACAAAAGACAAGATGAATATTGCGAACAAAACCTCTGAAATATTGTAACCTATTACCATTTCTATTACAATCCAAAGATATGTAGGCTCTAAGCATAGAGTGTGACAACCTTCAAATCACGCCTTTTGTTTGATGCCGTGCATCATCTCTTCTTTGTTAAAAAGATGACCGATGCTGTCAACTTCTTCTCACAAGTTGTCAACGTTGTAAATTCAGCTGCAAAACATTGTTTTAGTAGATTCATCTGGTTGAAGGAGCAAAGCTATATAACTATGAAAAACAAAAAACCTTTAAACAGCTTCCAGCTACGTACCAAGTATCGAAACTCGGCCCGTCTCCTTCCGTTATTCACGGCTCTAACCATTGAAGTCAAAAATGATTTGAAATATGAGATGACGCAATTTCTTAGGCGTAAGAGATCTACAGAAACCAAATAAGTTTACTTTGAGACATCTTGACGTTTCTTCAGGTAAATCTTTGTTATGATACGACATGAACAAGATTATAGATTCTTGGCATCCTGTATAATACGAAGGACGAAGAGTCTAAACATTCCTGATAGGGGTTACACCTCACCTACTGTATAGAAGGGTTCCGAACTATAAAGGAGCGTGGGGCTGAGACATCCCCGAGGAAGGACAAGACATTTTT